CGATTAGTTGTCCTACGCTCATTGCATGCGATGAGCGTTACTCCAAAGAAGCGTACGAAAATTGTAATGCTACACGAACAATACTGGCAAGCCCTACCAGTGAGAAAATTAAAGTACTATAGACTGGCCCCGAAACTCTCCTGATTTAAATCCAGTCGAATATCTGTGATCAATCTACAAGGAACAACTTCGTGGAATGGACATACGATGTACAATCATGTGCACTGGGCCATGTTTCATTGGGAAAATACGAAAAAAAAGTAAATAATAACGGAATTATTAGTTTTGTTTCAATTAATTTGCACAAGGTTGTATAATGTTTATACTAGACATTTTTTTTGTATAACAACGTGTAAATCGACAAATAGACAGATAGTTCCAGTGTTGTAAGAACTTCAGCAAACCGTCTGATCCTTGTAAACATCGCCCTACTAGTCTTTTACGTCTTTTTGGCAACGTCCCAGAGGCTCTAATCAACTCCGAAGAGGTTAAGCATTTTACGACGCAAGAAGAGCCTATCAGACACACAATATGGCTTTCATTTCTCTAGGTCAACCGTTGAAGTGTTAACGCTTATTGCTAAAAGAGTATATCAAGCTTTATATAAGAATGGTTAGGTTCGTGATGTTGCTTTGGATAACCGGAAGGCGTTTGGCAGAGTCTGACATGTTGGTCTTCTTCATAAGTTGAACGGTTATGGTATTTCTGACAAATTTTTTTTTATTTTATTTAGTCTCTCTTATCCAATCGCGAAATGAGCCTCGTTTTGAGTGCTTTCTAGATCTTTTTACATTAATGCGCGTGTTGCCATGGTTCTATCCTTGAACCTACTTTCTTCTTAATTTTCATCGCCGACCTTCCTGGTGTCTCCAGTTCTCGACTCGTTATCTATGTCGATGGCACAACTATTTACTCCTGTCCTAATGGTAAGACTCAAAGGTTCGATAAGCTCAAAAAAAATTACCATCAATATGTTAACTGGGGCAAGGAATGGCTTGTTAACGCCTCCAAAAAGAAACCACTCTCTTTTAGTCGTCTGAGAGAATCCTTTACTGTTTTCCATCAGCATGGCTGATGCTAACCTCCAGAAGAGCGACTCATTGCGCCTTTTCGAGCTAACGCTGAAATGTAGCGGAACGATTATATTGAATCAATTGCTAGGTCTACTGATAGAAGTTGGTTCACTGTGTCGTGTTAGACAATTTTTCTCGATAGAATCTATCTTACAGCTTTATAAGTCTCCCATTCACAACTGGTCTGGTTCTTCTGCTATGTAGAGATTATTAACAAAATATAAAGAGGAATTAGCAATGTTATCAGTCTTGTTCTGGCATTTCTGCTTCAGTCACATTCCAACCGCTGTCTCTTAGCTCCCCTGTGTCTATTTTTCTATAATTATTTTCGTTGTAATTGCTGAGATGAGATGCCCTCTTTATTACCTCGACTTCACTAATTCAAGCGCAGTACTAGATTGGCGGTAAGGTCTCATCATTTTACAGTTGAAATGGCTAGATGTAATCATAAGTGCTATGCAGACAATTTCTCCTCTCGCAATTCTGGAAATCTCTTCCAGTTTCTCGCTTTCAAGGCAACATTGATCTTCAAAAATTTAAACGCTGTTCTTTTATTGTCTGTCTATATCTCTGAGATGACGTTACTTTCATTATTTATATTATTTGGACTGTTATCTTCATCTTCATTGCCATATTCGCAAAGTTTCGACCGTTGTATGCTCCGGTCTCCGTCAGGTGATTGGGATTTTGAACGGAACCATTTATTTCGTCCACTAGGATAGAATGTTCTAGTTCCACGTGCCATGCCTCTTCGGGACGTCTCAGTTATTTCCCTTTAACTCAACTCTCCAAGTTTTGGGTGCACCACTGCTGTGGCCTGGTATTGAACTCCCAACACTTTAGGTCTAGTCACTGGATCTAACCAACGTCTTTATCCACTGGGCCATTTGTCCTTGTCTTCTATCCTTAATAACCTTTTTTTTTTCTCAAACTGTTTCACTCTCAGTAATCCCTTGCGTCCTAGTGGCTTTATCCCCTTGTTTGGTTGGTTTGGCTTGGCTTGGTTCACGGCATATCAACCTCAATGGATTATTTAATGCCGACAAGAGTTTTATTGCTGGTAATATTATTTTCTGCTTCTAAAATGTATTGCTGATAATATTTCTTCTTCAAAAATATATCACTGGTAATATTTATTTCCTCAAGACTGTATTGCTGGTAATATTTTTTCTTTAAAAATGTATTGCTGGTAATAATGTATTACTGGTAATAATTATTTACAAAAATGTATTGCTGGTAATATTTTTTTTTCAAAAATGTATTGTTGGTAATAATGTTTTATTGGTAATAATTATTTACAAATATGTATTGCCGGTAATATTTTTTCTTCAAAAATGTATTGCTGGTAACAATGTATTACTGGTAATAATTATTTACAAAAATGTATTGCTGGTAATATTTTTTCTTCAAAAATGTATTGCTGGTAA